CTGAATTATGAAATTTTAGGCGGATTAAAACTTGGGTGTGTATATTCAACCTTTTGGATTTCAAGAAAATTTTAGAGTTTTGAATCAATTGACCTTTGTTAATTTCACAATATGAATCTAACCCACTAACTATATAATTGTTAAGTTTGGCTGAGAATCCTTCGCTCCCAGGATATATTTACTCCAAAAGTCTATTTATAGTAAACAGATGTCTAGGATTACAATGAACGAGTGATAAAATTCCTAATATCTTGCTCAATACTTTATTATGTCCAAAAAACGAAAAAGAGTTTTCTAATGACTTCAGAAATAGAAGTTTCGGAAGATGCCAATCTATATCAATTGGTTCTTGGGCTGACCCGTTAGGATTTATGTCATTATTATTATAATTTATTTTTTTTTTGGCACAATATTAAATTGAAAGTTTAATTCGTTGAATTTGAAATCTGAACAAGAAAAGTATGATTTGAAATACAATATACAAAGAAGTTTTTATAATTATAAAATAATAATTTAATAACAAAAATTTTAAATAATAAATTTAGTATTGTCTTAATAATTAATTTGACTCATTATTTAAAAATATATATAATACCAGTATGTAATCAAGCAGGGCGCCTTGCCTTGCTTTGCTACGCTATTAGCTATGAGTATCCCCCCACAATTTTTTCCGTATGAAGGTTTTATATATAGTCGATTTTTTAAGAGATATATTTTGTTTAGAAATTTAATTTAAAAATCTAAGACTGAAATAGAGAATTATTTTATCTTTATCCTCTGTTAAGTATAATTAGCTTTTTTGGTGAAAGCCAAAATTTAATTACGAATTTCCTTTAATTACGAATTTCTCTGTAAATAAATTAAATAAGTAAAAGAAAAAAAAACTTCAATGATATATTTTTCTTTTCACGTAGCACGAGCTCACAGAGCTTACGTGATTCGCAAACTTGTTCTTTTAAAAACAAACAAATAAAACTTATTACAAAAATCGGATGACGGATAATCATACATGTATGGAATAAAACGGAACAAGTATCATACATTATCACAGTGTTCGGCAAATAACTTGAAATGACAAATGATTCAAATGACAAATGACAAATAACATGTCATTTCATTGCTCAAATGACAAATGACCCGAGTCAATTGAATGTAATGTTGGCCAGTACTATGGTTCTGGCCTTCATTCCGTTTGCTTTTTTTTTACTTTTCAATTGGAATCACATGACAAGGTATCAACCAATCAAAATCAAATAACTGAAATGACCAAATAAAAGGATTAGGAATAATGACAAATGATTGGGCAAATCATTTAAATGGTCAAATGACCAGGTCATTTCCGAACACTGCATTATCATAGATCGCTAAACCCTTTATCAATCTCGGAGATGGCAAATTTCAAGTTCCCACGACATACAAACTCTCCATTCTCTCCACCTCTGCCTTTTTGAGTTTCGTTCATAATTATACTTCTGTTTAATGCAAAAGTAAGAGGGCTAGTTATTGCATGCATAATGCGCATTTTGCCCAATTGCACCTGATATTTAGACCAATCATTAACTACAGAATTTGCTACTATTTTAAAATAGATTTGTTAATAACTTGTTAATAACTCGTTTAGAAGCCCAAATGCTAATTAAGGTAATATTATTTTTTCTTGGCGAAATATAAAATATCGACATGATTTCGCCAAATGAGATTTATAAAGGTATAAATTAATGTGTCTTATATTTTTTTCTTTAGCAATCGCATAGCTATGTCTGAATTACCCGACTTAAAACTTGTCGCCGCAGTAATTTCTTCCATAATTAATTGTCCAGTAAAGACATATGATGAATGCATAGCCGAAGGGTTAGACCCTAACCGAACTTTAGACCCTGTTCTAGTTCATAAATATTCCGTCACTAATAAAAATATCTCTTTTAATAAATTTGTTGAAAAAAGCAACAGACGTTCCAGTAAAAATGATCCAGCCCCCACATATTCTGGTAAAAACGAGATTGATGAAGATGACGACGAGATTGATGAAGACGACGATGAGATTGATGAAGACGACGACGAGATTGATGAAGACGACGACGAGATTGATGAAGATGACGACGAGATTGATGAAAACAACGACGGAATTGATGAAGACAATAGCAAAATTAACGAAGATAATGAAATTGACGAACGATCACGTTCTCAATCAGTCAACTTACCATCATCATCAAGCAGTTCCTCCATACAAGTTTTTTTATTTTTTCTTTCCATCGCTTTACTCAAGTACATTTACATTACTATCATATTCATTTGTTTCATTGCCTTATTGTACACTCCCCGGTCAAAAGTATTGGACCAAAAAAAAAGTTATCGCAACTTTTAAATTTATGACTAATTTTAA